TTAAATAAACCTCTATAGCCAGAAAGAAAAATAATGTTTGCATCTAAAAAAGCCATCTGTTACTTGCTTATTATTCAGCAGCCAGAGCCTAATAATCTGCCCCTTTAAGAGATGGACAAATTGTACTGCCAAAGCCGAATTATTATTTGAGGTATATAACACGATTTCAATTGATCCTAATGGTTCTCTGAAGAGGACGAGGAAGGAGAAAAAGGAAGTATTTTCCTTGTAGTCCCTTAGGGTGTCTTTTACAATTGCCTACTCTTTTCTGAAGTATTTAGCTTTTTTTAGACTGTCAAATTATTCTACTTAGTCATTTCTGAAGGAAAAGAGATGTAGGAGATTATTCTGTCAACAAGTACATAGAATGTCCACTATAAATAAAGCCTCAGGCTGGAATACACATGTTCCTTTGAAAGGCTGTGGCTGTATGAATTTCTACGTCCAAGAAGCTGGGGCCCGAAGGCTCTGGGTTCCCAGTCAGTGTCGTAAGGACCAAGCCAAACTCTTATTCATGTGGAAGACAGATTCTCTGTGGTGGAATAGCACCCTCTCTTCACCTCCTTCTGAATCACCTACAGATCTTACAGTATAGAGCACTGTGCCCTTAAGCCCAGAGATTCTGATTCATTGGATCTCAGATGAAACCCAAAAACCAGACTTTTAATGACTATCGCTGGAGCATTCATAAACACTAAGATATTGTCCACAGTTTAGGAAGCCACATCATAAAGGCACCAGGCCTTTCACCATGCTGCCTGTGGCCAGCTTTCTTGTGTCTAAACACAAACAGGCAGACATGGCAAGCGTAAGTGCTCAACAAGCAAACCCAATCAATAAGAAAAATCAGCATCCGAGCATTGCTATTTGGAGAAATAAACTAGCACAGCAAGCTGGTGCTCGTTATGTAGTTTGCACCTTTGAAGCCCATTGTGGCAGCCTCCATCAAAAAGGGCCTGCGGAATTGGTATTTTGAAGGAGGTACCGAGGGTTAGGAAGTGAGTGAAGGAGAATTGGACTTACTGCATTACTACAACAGGCACAGCCTGTGGCTTTGAATTTGCAACAGATCATTTCAGCTTAGTTTTTGGACAAAGAAAACTGTAGCCATGATTATAATAGCTTTTAATGATCTTCTTAGAGTGACTGTGTGGGCTGCAGCAAAGAATAGAGAATAATTTTCTTTGCATAACATTTCCAAAATGCCATAACTATGGAGGAAATGGTTGTGTTTGTAAGCTGCACTGGCTTCCTCAGAATCAAGAGAAATTTCAGATTTATAAGGGTTCTTAAGAATCATATAGTCCAAGCCTGTCACCAGAAGACATAGGAGACCAAAAGGTAGATTCAGAAGTCATTTGATTAAAGCACAAGTGTTTTGTAATGAGACCTAGTATCTCTCTGTGAAATTCTACTTTCATAAATCAAAGAAAACTAGTTGTTATTAGAATTTGTTGTAAATGTGAATTATACATTGAATCAAATCTGCTGAGGAAACTGATGTTTTTAAAGCAAGTATTTACTGAGTGCTTACACTGAGGTTAAGTGCTTTATAGGAATTATCATATTCGATCCTGGTGAAGTTGGTATTATTCTGACAGATAAAGAAATATAAAGGTAGTGAACTACTCAGTTTAGATGCTATAGCTAATTAATGATAGTAGTTTATGATCAACATAAGAAAGTGAAATATTCATTTTTGATCAGGGAATTTGAAGATTAACATATCTCAGATTCAGTTAAGCTTATGGATAACAGGCAGAAGAGCATGTGTTTATCATGATTAGACAGAGATACTGTCCACACCAGGAAAGGGCAATGAGTGAATCCTAAATCAAAGCATCTATGTCCTACTAACATCTCCAGTTTTCACAGATAGCAATTATGTGGCAGGCGTTTCCAACCCAGCTCTGTATTCTAAACGCTGAATCACTGTACCAGAGATGCAAGTAGAGGGAATGCTTTACCCAAGATCGTATGAGGCGTCAGTGCATTCAAGGCTGTAATCTCCAGTGCATTCTACATGAAAAATAACGTACAGTGGTTTGGCAAGGTTTATAAAAGAATCTTTAAACTCCTGCGAGCACTGTGCCCTAAGAAAATTATTGAAATGCTGGTATTTGAGAAAGTGATATGCATGCAGATATATTCAGGCATCATTTTTCTTCACAGGCACAAAGTTTGAAGTAGCCCTCGAGTGAGTCACTGTCCTCTCCTTTTGTCTTTGTTCAGGTAGCATCTTTTCTGTGACTCACTCTAATCATTCTATTTAAGTAATCTCCCCTGCCCCCATTAGCCGCCATCTTCCTCTCGGTTTGCTCTTTTCCGTAACACCACTTTTTCCACCATACGACATACTGTATTTACTTCTGAATTTATTGACTTCATCATGATATACATTCAAGAAGGCATGATGCTCTTCTTTTGTTTGCTGCTATATTCCCATCACCTAGAACGACTGAGCACATAGTAAAGCCTCAGGAATGGTTATTAAAGAAATTAATCAATAAATGATCTTCCATACTAGACGACCAGGTTAGTGAATGGGGATAGAATATTTTATTCTACATACTGAAAGCAAAATTTATGAAGCAAATGTAAAGTTCTCCACAATATGCTAAATGAATTTTAAAAAGCAATATTCATATGCAAATGTGTACTTAGAGGGGAACTACGTAAAGCTTTGTACCAGGAAGGTGATTGAAAAGGAATGCAAAGGCACTGGGTTTTATGCTTTGGTTTTCCATTTTAAAACACATTTTCTTTCATTTGTAAATGACTACAGGTAGAGAAAGGAAAGTCGGGGTGGAGGGTGAGAGGAACCTACAATAAGGGGAATCCTGGCTCTGTAGCTTGGGATGCTGTAGGCTTTTATGTTCCCTGCCAGAATCCTTGACATCTCTGTCAAAAATGATGCTAAAACATTTGCGCCGAGGAGCCTAATAAGGTTCTGTGCTTTGCAGAATTGGCTCAGGAACCGGCAATTTAATCCATTTAACTTTAGCTATGTGCGCTGTTCGGTTCACAAGGCGCATGCGCTGTAGCCTGTGTCGATTCCTTGAGTTTGCTTTTACTTCCTGTACGGTCATCTGCTTCTTGGCTGCTGTCCTCATTCTCATTGTCGTTGCTTTTGTTTTTGAGGCGAAGAGAAGTTCTCTGGTGTTCTTTTTTATTAAGAGACAAAAAGAGAGAGAAAAAAATGATAAAAATGATACAGAATTTCAAAATAAGATTATAGGAAATTAGCAATAGTTATTACACTGCATATTGTCATCTTCAAAGTAGTTGCTGTACGGCATGCACTAATGGTTCCTTTCAATGAACCAATAGAAATGAGTAGTGCAGTTATCTTAGCTATCTTGTGTGTATATACATATCCTTTTCCCTTCCTTCTTTTCTCTTACTTACTCATTTATTGCTTTTGTAAAACTGACACATAAAAAACATAAACACTGTGCATATTTATGGGGTAAACCGATGTGTCAGCACTTGTACAATATTTAAGTTGGGGTAAACCATCGACCTTCTCCAACATTTACCATCGATGGCAAAACTATTCAAAGTCCTGTCTCTAATATTTAGAAACACGTCGTACAGAATTGGGTGTAATCACCTTAGTGTGCCATCATTCACCATGACTCCTCACGCTGGTCTCGCTGTAACAGCACCCACTGATCAACCTGTCCCTGTCCTTCCACCTCCTCTCCTCCTCCCAGCCTTGGGTGACCACCATTCTGCTCTCAACTTCTGTGAGCTCAACTTGTTTTTAAAGCCTTCCTTTGTCCTGCGCTCCTGCCGCCATCCTCCCACTCCTCCCTTTGTCCCACACTCGCTTGTTGCTTTGTCCTTAGTCCCAGTCTGTGCGTGGGCACTTCCTGAACAAATAAAGCTTTGGTGCCGAGTGAACTCAAGGCCAGAGAAACACAGAACAGCCAAGGGCTCCTCGCTGCTGTTCTCTCTCCCTGCCTTCTCCATGCATCTGGAGCCGCAGGCCTGGAGCCCTGCAATCTTCTTCCTGTCTGTGATGCCCAACTGGCCCCTCCTCCCCTCCTGCTGATTCTCCAAAGACAGTGAGCCTGATTTCTAGGCTGCAGCCGCTCAGTACCCTGCCTATGGCCTTCTTGCTTCCAGCGGCAACCACAGGCCTTTATTCCTCACAGTGCAGGAAGCTTAGTGCTCTTCATATTGTACTGTTCTGTGAGAGGACCAGGTCTCCTAATAATACTAATTTATAGGATTATAATCCTGGTGAATCCCTAGAATCATGTACTTTTACAATTGAAAGGGATCTTAAAAGCTATCTAGAGAACTCCTGATTATGAATTCATGGTCATTATAGTAATAGGAGCATGGTAGGTAGAAAATATTTCCCCACCAATAAATACTGTAAAGTCAGCCATCTACTCTGTGATAGCTACTTGTGTTGTTAACTTTTATTTTAAAACAGCTTTCAATTACCTTCTGTTCAAATCTGTTTACAAAATCTGTGAATAATCAAGGAGAAGACTTAGAAGGTATGAAGGGCAACTCAAAAACTAGCTTTGGGCTGACAAGGGTGAGGCTATAAGAAAGAAAAAAGTTGGTTCCTGAAGCAAGAATGGGGCAAAATGATGACAGAGGGGCCGTGTACAAATGACAACACCTTCGCTGGTGTGAACTGTCAGACAATAGAAATGGTCACCAAGGAAGACTGATGAATGATGATTCTTGAGGTAAGCAACATATTGGGTAGGATCCATTGGGTGACTCAGGTTTTCCTTGTTGGAGCAAAATAGAACAAATATATTAAGTGGTTCCTTCTTCATGAAAAGGTTAGATTTCTATTTCCTGGAAAAAATATAAAATGATTATCAAAAGTAAGCCTCTTTACCTACTTTAAAATCATTGACCTGAACACAGCGCTGGGGATTATGAGAACTGTATTCACAGTACCTTTGGCCAGAACAGCTGAAGTCTTCAGAGATAGTTCTTATCATTGTCCTTTTTTCTTTTTCTTTTAGGCTTGTAAATTCTATAGTTCCCAGTGGTATGTGGTAAACTACAAATATGAGCAATATTCTGGAGACATTCGACAGTTACCCAGGTAAGAACTTCTTATAAGTATTCCTTTGGCTTTTGCATAAATATCATATGCATGTTCTTTGCTCAAGGGCTGACACTGTTTATGAATAAATGTAACCAAAGTACATTTTGCAAAATGTGTAAGCTGAGATAGACCATTTTGTTCAACAGTGTATAGTTGATGTGGTCAAAGTTTAGAATGCGACTCAATTATTCTCTGATTCAACTACTGAATGAATTCTTAAGGTTTGTCTATCACTCTATTATTCATTTGTGAGCTGTCCGTTCAATAGCAGATTCAAAAAGATTAGAATAACCCAGTATGTCCAGAGTGTTGCTGACAATATTTTTAATGATATTCATACTTGCCCTTGTTTATGTGTTTACATTCTAAGATATCAAAAGTCATGAAAATAAATTCCACAGAAGTGGCATATACCTAAAAATATCAAAAGTGAAAACAAATACCTAATTTTCCCCTAACTTTGGGGACCATAAATCCTTTAGGAAGGTGACTTTGTTGTTTCTCCTTAAATGTCACCTCTACACAAAGGCTAACCTCATCACCTAAACTATGGTAGAAGTTTATTTAGGGCCTATTTCCCCTACTTACATAAAAATTTGCAAAGGGCAGGGACTTTTCCCTGCAAATCTCCCCAGGCTTGGAGAAATTCTGGCACATAATACATGGGCAGTAATTACTTATCAGATAACTGAGTGATTATAAAATTTTAAAATACAGTGTTCCTGAATGAAATTATAGTTGCTCAAATTTAAAGAACTGTCTCAAACTAATACCTTCCAGCTCACTGATTCCTAAAATTAAGATGATGCTAATAATCCAGAAAAACACACACTTAAGCAAAAGTAAGATTCGTACTAACACATTGCTCAGGTGAAATGTCAACATGAAACACACCAGTTCTAATTTTTCTAGGGGCCCATGGTATAAAACCATGTTCCACCTTGCAATATTTTCTGTACTTCTAGATATGTTTTTTCAGACTCAGCTGCTTGGAATTGCTGCTTTTAGTTTTTTTAATGCAGAGTCTGAAGGGAATTAGGGAATACCACTCAAAGGTAGCATTTTAGTTGGATCTGAATGAACAGTACTAGCTTCCAGTGGTAGGGAGTGTGGTGAGATGAACCCATGGACCATGATGTCAGGGACCTTTGGCTCCTGAGAGGATCTTAGATATTACATAGTCTCATTGCAACAAGAAGTCTTGGAAAATTTCAACATAGGAGAGACAGGATCTGATTTGCCTCTTTTTAAAAAATTGCTTCACTTACTTTACAGAGAATGGATTGTAGGGGCAATGATAAAAGAAAAGGTGAAGTGACACCATTCTTTCGGAGTTGCCTCAGTACAAAATGAGAACCAATGTTATTCCAAAATAACACTTCTTTTTTCAAAGCACTGTACATCTACCAAATTTCTAAACATTTTCTTAGTTCATGTCACTCCTGTCACTCTTGTTTTGTCCTTAGTCCCAGTCTGTGCGTGGGTACTCTTATAACTCCATGTTGAGGAGGTCCTACTACACCCTGGAACTTCATGAATGACTTTTCAAAACGTCTGGGTGTTAGTCACACATTTTTGTAGGTGCAAGTGAAAAACCAAGTTGTTTTTTTTAACACCAGGACTTCCCCTTTCTGAGAATGATTCTGAGAAGTGGTAACAATTTGGAAGCTGTGTGCCTGCCTGTGGAAGACTGTTTATCAAGTGAGACGACACAGACAGCAGTGTTTTTCTCCCTATTGAGTAAAAGGTTTTCACTGTCTTCAGTATATTGAAACGCCAGGCGTGGTGGCGCACGCCTATAATCCCAGCACTTGGGAGGCTGAGGCAGGAGGATTGTTGTGAGTTCAAGACCAGCCTGGGCTACAAACTGAGTGCAAGGCCAGCCTGAACTGCACAGGGAGACCCTGTCTCAAAAAGACGAAAAAATAAAAAAGGAAAGTATATTGAGTTCCTCAGTAGTTTTAGCCTCAAGCACTGTTTATCTTTTCTTATATTCATGATTCCATAAAGGGGAAAAAATATTTCACACTCACAGTATTCTTCCTCTGTTAAAATGGTGGAGAGGACGTGTCTGCTAAGAACAGTTTTTAAATGTTAGTGCTGAATTGGGACCCTCATAGAGCATGGATAGAATCCTCTCATGAGAAGAAATGAGAAAGTAGCCAAAATACTTTTGAGAATTTCCCTTACTTTAGCTAAAGGAAGAGGAAGCTGACACCAAAAAGGGGAAGATTATGACTGCCACAGAGTAAGAAACTTTAATAAACTATGTATATTCAAAATGAAAATAAGAAGTTCCAGAATATGACCCTGTAGCATATATTCCAGCCTAAGATAATGAAGACTGTAAAATTGAATAGCGGAATTATTTTTAATGACTTTACAAAGCTAAGCACTTCTCCTTACAGACTGCACATATTTAGATCAATAGAAGAAACAGATTAATGTACTTGGGTCTTCTAAGGCTGTCAGAAATAAATCATTTTGGATTAGAAAAATTCTCATGTGCCTACTACCAATTTAAATTGATCATTTTCTTTTATGGGTTACTAAGATTGCAAAATGAAAATTTGAAATTATGAGGAAAAGGTGAAATGTGTCCCTTAAAATGTATTATTTTAACTGTTACAAACCCTATTTTTTTGTAAAATGTGTTTTGTAAATGTGTTTTCATACTGCAGAGATATTATTTCTAGGTAGAGTGTAAAACATAAGTCTTCATACATTAGTAATAAGAACCAACACTAGTCTTAGAGTTCTCAACTCAGAGCGGCATAAAAATTTATGATGCCACTGATTTTATTAATCCACTGGGTAAAATACAAAGATATATGACATGTTCAAATTTTTCACTATTGTTGATTTGAAAGAAGATATAAAGAAGAAAATTCCCTGCAGGTATAATTTTCACTCAGATTCAGATAAAGGATGAGCAGTTTAGCTGGGCTGACTGAATTAGAACAGATTTTTAAAAAATAAAAGCATATTTACATTTATTGACCTTCGCAAGTCAGAAAGTGCCAGATGCCATACATACATTATCTCATTTAATGTTCATAGCCCTATAAAATAAGAACTGTTATCTCTGTTTTATGGAGGAAGCTTGGTGCTAAAAGATACCTTGCCATAAACCTCATAGGTAGTAACTGATGAGGCACATTGGATTTCAGCTCAGAAAATAAAGTTCCTGACCAGCCCTTTATCTTGCGATCCCTAAGTCTCTTAGGGACAACGCAGTGCTCCTGGGGGAAGAATTTAAAGTGAATATCCACAGGTATTGCTCATTGTATGATCTTTCTTATTAGTGCATATGAATTATGCAGAATGACAGGCTTTCACCATGACGTTTTCATACATGCACACAAGGTACCTTAACTACATCCCACCGTTATCCTCCTTCAGCTTCCCCTTCTCTCTCCCTTTAATTCTCTTCTTCTTCTCCACTACGTTCATTCACTTTTATGTGGTTTTGCCAGAGCACCTACGCTAATTTATATTCCAAGTGTGTAAGAGTTCTTTTGCCCCCGTATCCTTACCATTGCTCATTATGTTTTGCATTCTTCATGATAGCAATTCTGAAGGCTGTGAAATGCAATCTCAATGTACTTTCGATTTGCATTTCCCTAATGGCTAAAGATATTGAAAACTGTTTCATGTGATGACTGACCATTTGCACTTCTTCTGTTGAGAAGTAGATGTTCAGTTCACATTCACATTTATTGATCAGATTATTTATTCTTTTACTGTTAATTTTTTAATTCGTCATATATTCTGGATATTAATTTTCTGTCAGAAGAATATCTGGCAAAGATTGTCTCCCATTCTGTAGACTGTTTGTTACTCCATTGTTTCTTTTTCTGTACAGAAGCTTTTTCGTGTCATGTGATCTCATTGTTGATTCTTTCATCCTATTATCTCCTGAGCCATTGGAGTCCTATTCAGGAAGAGATTCCCGATGTTTCTATTTTGAAGTGTTTCCCCTATGTCTTCCTCTAATAGTTTTAATGTTTCTGTCTTATAGTAAGGTCTTTAATCCATTTTGAGTTGATTTTTGTACAAGAGGAGAGGTGGAGATCTACTTTCAATCTTATACATGTAAATATCCAGTTTCCCAGCATCATTTGTTAAAGAGGCCATCTCTTCTCTATTGTATGCTTTTGGTGCCTTTGTCAAGAATCAGATGATTGTAAGCACATGGGTTTATTTCTGGGTTCTCTGTCCTATGTCATTGGTGTAGTGTCCATTTTTATACTCACACCAGGCTGTTTTTTGTTACAATGGCTCTATACTACATTTCGAACTCAAGTATTGTGATGTTTTCAGCATTGTCCTTTTTGTACAAGGTGGCTTTGGCTATTTGGAGTCTTTCATGCTTTCATATGAATTTCAGGATTTTTTCTAGTTCTGTGAAGAATGAAATTGGTCTTTTGGTGGGGATTGAATCTGTAGGTAGATTTCAGCAGTATGGCCATTTTAACAATATTAATTCTTCCAGTCCATGAACATGGGAGGTCTTTCCATCTTCTCATATGTTCTTCAATTTCTTTTTTCAGTATCTTATGAATTTCCTTGTAGGAATCTTCTACCTCCTTAGGTTTATTCCTACGTATTTTGTGTGTGTTTCTGAGGTGTTCATGAAAGAGACTGTGTCAGTGATTTCTTTTCCAGTGAATTCATTGTAGGTGTATAGGAGAGCTACTAATTTCTTTATGTTGATTTTGGATCCTTCTACTTTGCTGAATTTGTTTACCAGTGCTCAGAGACTTTTCGTGGATTCTCTAAGGCTCTCTCTGCATACAATCATATCATCTGTAAACAGGGATAATTTGACTCCTCCCTTTCCTATTTGTACCACTTTTATTTCTTTCCCTTGCCTGATTATTCTGGTTAAAACCTTCACTACTTCATTAAATAAGAGTGGTGAAAGTGGATACCCTTGTCTCAGTCTCACTTTTAGAGGAAATTATTTCAAGTTTTCCCCATTCAGGCTGATACAT